CGGTCTTTTGTGACCGATAGGTGCATTTAGAATTGCACTGAGATGCGTTATGTTGTACGCGTTTTTGTTTGTCTTTTCGTGAGACTGCAGTTTTTCCTTGCGATTGCTTCGAAATCGGCTGTTATATTTGTTATTTCCTATCCCATGGCGACGATGTTTATGCAAGAAAGTGCATTCTTTTAGCGTTTTTGTTGTTTAACGTTTGACGCAGGCGCAGTGTACGCGGCGTTCAATCGCGACGGTTTCAGTGGCATTGCTTATAACTGTACGCGCTTGTAGTCGGCACATATTATGTCTATACGCTATATTCCGTGCTCGCACTCGCTTGGTAAAAGGACGGGGCGCTATGCTGTAGGCGCACCGAACGTTACAACGATTAATATCGATTTTTTTATGTCCCTCTTTTCCTTCTCTGGGAGTTGGTCACTAGAGTCTACAGGCCATTTAGGCCCAAGATGACGGTCAAAATAGCTAATAGGAAAGTTGTCAGCATTTCGGCTCAGATAAAAGGATTGCACTACTTTGATATATCTAGAACTTTATATATCTAGAACTTTACTGCGATCACTTAGTACGAGATATTATCATGTCTCTTTATTATGTATATCTATAGTAAGTGTCATATCTTGATTCGTATTTTTAAACTTTACTTCGAGGTTAGCATGACAGTTGTTAAAAAATTATTCAGCCATAATATGTATTTCCGGAGTGCATTACACGGAGGCGATTTTTGTTACACTTTTTTTTATATATTCCTTTTTATTTAATTTTTTAATTACTTCTTTGTTTTTTACTTTTTCTTGTTTTATTTTTATTATTCTACGATACCGCTGATGTTCCTCGACTAAGCATCAGACGATGATAATTTCAAACTCGTAAATTTGGTCAAAAAATCATACAGAAACAAAACTCATTTTGAAAGCAAAAGATAACACTTTAAGATAATAGACAACAATGGAAAAATAAAATTTCCTTATCCGCAATACCATTTTAAATATGACCAAAATCATCAGTTATCGCTTATTTTCTTCCAATTTGCTCGGAAATGTGACGTGATAGGCAAATTCTAAGGACAGTATCGTATTCAGCGTCAATAAATGCTTCGAAAATACTTCGTAAGCCAAAGACAAAATCTGTTCGAACAGTATTATTAGTTTTAAAAAAAGTGTATACAACACGATATTTTGAGTAAAAATAATTTCTCATAATAAAATGATAAAAACCAGGCATGTATAAGAATGGAGGCACATTGGCTCATATACAGGGTATGCCAGAATATTTGGGACTATTTTCATATGCAGATACAACGGACTAAAATGAGAAAAAATCCTCTACAACTATTGAATTTTCGCAATAGTTAGCGAATTATCAATTATTAAAAATCGCCGTATTAGGGAAGACCTGGCCCTCCGTCAAATGCAAGCGCACTTATTACTAATAAACAACTCTTCGCGTACCTATCAACCTCGCTATCAATCTCGCCGTGCGTTTGCATTCAGCAGTAGGCCGGACTACAATAATTTTTAATAATTAATAACTCGTTAACTATTGCAAAAATTGAAAAGTTGTAAAGGACATTTTGCAACTCTCAGCTTAGTCCCCTCTATTTACATATAAAAATAATTTCAAACTCTGAGACACCTTGTATAAGACAAGGTTAGGTTAGGTTAGGGTTAGGTTAGGTTGACTTGCTGTACCGTACGTGTGAACATTCAATCACAACTTAACTCTGACAAAACGCTTTTAAAAAACAATTTTATATTTAATATTCTATATTGAAATAAGGTAGAAATAAAATAATTTATATTTGTTTTTCTATAACATTTTGTTATTTGATTATTACAAAATAATTTTGAAAGATACAATTTTTACTAAGAAATACATGTCTACTACTTGATTTTTATTTCTATTTTCTATTACGTCTTTGTTAATTTAATATACAGTTTATCATAGAAGCAACTTACACCGTGATATGTACCCACGAAGTAAGAAAGAAGGGGGCTCAACTTGATAGCGCGCAAACGGAAAAAGTAGAACTGGTTTGTGAGCCGAATTGAGAGGGAATCCGCTGAGGAATAACCTGCACATTTAGACGTCATTTGCAATATCAACCGTACCTCACTTACTTCCTTTAAAAGTTGTCCGAATAAAAAAGATTTAACTCACAATTAAAAGTACAAATCAAAGAAACAACAAGAAATGTGTCCCGGGTAGAACTTTAAAAGGGGGCACATACAAGCTCTAGATAGTTTTTCCCCATTTCTATCTAGGCCCCATTCAGGCAAGTCCGATTAGGCCCTGTACAGAGATATAACGCTCGTGCAAATCAGGGCCCGATTTGTAAATTTGATTAGGCCCTATTTGGATATGCCTAACTAGGCCCTATCTGGATACGCCTAACTAGGCCCTATCTGGACACGCCTAACTAGGCTCTGTCTGGACACCCCTAACTAGGTCCTGTCTAGACACGTTTAACTAGGCCCTATCTGGATACGTCTAAGTAGGTACTATCTGGACACGCTTAACTGGACAGGCCCTATATTGGTTAAAGTAGGCCCTATCCTGGCAAGCTTAATTACGTCCTATTTTGGCATGTGTCAACAATTGACAACAGAGAAAAATATCAGAGCGCTCCTCGTCTCGATCCCAGGCCTGGTCTCTGCTCCGAGTTGGTAAACTTTGACGCTGCCACTGAGCCACACAGCCCTGACGCTGGTGGTCTCTCTGTTGTATCTATATCTAGTAAATATCTTACACTAGGCCCTTTCATAGAACACCTCACTAGACCCTATTTTGGAATATCTATATATCGCTCTTTCTAGACCCAACAATGGCAGGCCTTGTTAAAGGCACTCACGTCAGTGCCCATTCAAGGTCTGTTTAGGAAATTCCATCTAGAATTTTTCTTTCTAGGCCCTTTCTAGGCCCAACGATGGCAAGCTCTGTTAGGGGCACTCACGTCAGTGCCCATTTAAGGCCTGTTTAGGAAATTCCATCTAAAATTCTTCTTTCTAGGCCCTTTCTAGGCCCAACGATGGCAGGCCTATTTTAGGGTATGCCTATTTGGGCCCAACGTTGACAGACCTATTTTAGAGCATGCCTGTTCAGGCCCTATATGGACGTAGGGCACGCCCCGACAAAATTCTACCCGGGGTAGTTCGTACGTACACACGGCGTCATTAATGCCTAAGCATCTGAATTTGCAGGAGTATTGAGGCATATCCAAGACGCGCGTTCCTTTCTAAGTATTCATGCATTATGACTAATGGTTATTCGAAAATGTAACGTAAACTTAAAATTGAACTAAATTAAACTAAACATAAACTAAACTTAATAACTTATAAATAATTTAATAATTTTTTTTTTATAAATAAAATCGTTTTCAGACACAACTCTGGTGAAAATTTGTCTCAGAATTTTTCAAAATTTCTGTATAATTTTATAACTTTCTCGCATTTTTTAAACGAATTAGAACTTTTCAGAAATACTCACAATCAGAAAGCTCTGGTCTACACCTTTTCTCAGAATTGTTTATATATAATGTTAATAAAATATTCTAAGATTTCTAAAATTTGTTCTAAGTATAATTTCTGATAAAATATTATAAAATCTAAAAAAGTTAAAAATATTTTTTCTTAATTATAGAATGAGAAATCTCAGAATATTTCAGAATTCACATGTATGAAAACTTCAAGAGAAGATGTAAACTTTTCGAATGTTTCTGAGTATTTCTGAAAAATGTTTCAATTCATATAAAAGTTATGAGAAAAATTGTCACCAGAAAACCTTTGGCAATTCTTTCTTACAAAAGAACAATACGAAAAATGTAACGTAATCTTAAAAGTGAACTAAATTAAACTGAACATAAACTAATTGTAAGAGCTTAATAATTTATTAATACAATTAAATCAATACAATTAAATCAATCAGCAATTTTATTTATAAATTATTAAATTATTTATAAATTATTAAATTATTTATAAATTATTAAGTTTAGAGTTTATGTTTAGTTTAATTTAATTCAATTTTAAGTTTACGTTACATTTTTCGAATAACCATTAGTCATAATGCATGAATATTTAGAAAGAAACGCGCGTCTTGAATATGCCTTGATACTCCTGCAAATTCAGATGCCTGGGCATTAATGACGCCGTGTGTACAACTAGTACAGCTGATTTTTTTAAACATAGCGTCCAAATGTGTAGGTTATTCCGGTAGCGGATTCTCTCTCAATTCGGCTCACAAACCGGTTCCACCTTTTTTACGGAGTTGAGCCTCCTTCTCTCTTACATCATGTATGTATCAATTTATCCCACATATCGGGGCAAGTTGATTGCAACGTAGTATGTTCGTATATCATTTATTGCAAAAAAATTGTGTAGGTAGTGTATAGAATCATTACTAGTTTGAAAATATAGAGTAAAATTCTCTCTTCTATCATATTAGTATATTTTAATCGTAATAATTAATTGTTTAAAAAATCTAATATACCGAAATTGTGAAAACTGTTAACAAATCCCGGTCTTCCCTATAGGCTCTGTAATGCTCTATCTGCGCTGACTCTTACTATACTGCTTTACAAGTGGCAATTGTTCACAAGGTATTTCAAGCTTCAGTTAAAATCAAAGAATGTTAATTTTCTCAAAACCAGTTTTCGGATCTAATATATGTATATATATATATAAATTGATCGCTTTTTAAATATCTACTGATTCCCTCTGATTTGAAAACAATCCGTCACCGTAATCTAATTTTTTTTTCCGAATAATACGCAAAGGTGCAATTTACGGATTTATACGGATTATTTTTTATGCCCCAAAATAACCATAGAAAAAGCTGGTAAAAATCCATGAAATATATTTCTGAGTCTTCCCTTGTTAGAGCTTATTTCGCGGCTCTGTGAAAATTCGTTTCTCCTTTCGACACAGAAGCTGCAAGAATGTGGAAAAAAAGAACAGATAAAAGATAGGAAGGAAAGATCGTGGGCTGTTTTGTTGCAGCTGACGGACAGATCGTGGTTGAGGAGGACGAGTTCGATGATTTTGGAGACTCTAAGTGCTCGCTGTGCCAGCGCAGATTTGAAGAGCAAGGTAAAAATCTATCTCTCATATCTATCTGTTCGATATGAGTGTAACGTGTAAAGCAATTTAAAGGAGAATAAATCGGAGGAAAAGAGAGAGAGAGAGAGAGGGGGGGGGGGGGGGGGGAGAGAGAGAGAGAAAGAGAGGGAGAGAGAGAGAGAGACAGGACCAAGCTTATCAAAATACAAAATGCCAAAATATCCCAAGTAGATATTCGATGTTTGCTTCGTTGTATTACATTGAGAAACAAAATTTGACTTTTTTTTGTCTTTGACATGTGGAGTGTTATTTCTCGAAAATTTTTAGCTGAATTTGAACCCGTACTCAAAAAAATTCTATCACATCACATTTTCGAACAAAATGGCGTAATATAGACCAAAAATGACAATTTTGGCCATATTTAGAATGGTATTGCAGTTAAGGAAATTTTATTTTGCCAATTTTGTTTGCACTCTATCTTAAAGTGCTATCTTTTACCTTCAAAATGAGTTCTTTGGTTTCTGCACGATTTTTTATGACCAAGGTTAGGCATACGCTGCCTTGCGCTGTCCCACTTGGCGCGAGACAATACCGTACCTCTTGATCATGTGTAGCTAGCAAGTGTCATATTTTGATTTGTGTTTCTTATGCCTACTGCACACTGGACGCGATGAGCGATGAACGACGAGCGATATCCAATAAAAGCTCTGCTTTTTTTCACGTGACGACGCAAAGCAAAGCTCTCATTGGATATCGCTCATCGCTTATCGCTTATTGCGTTCAGTGTAATAAGCATTAACATTCACATGCAAGCGTCAAGCAGCGGAAGTAGTAGCCAATCAACGAGGCGATTTTTACAATGACTTAAAAAATAATTTTTACACCACTGCCCGTATCGCCCAGCTGATTGGTTGCTGCTTCCGCTACTTGACGCTTGACGCTTGCATGTGAATGCACCTTTAGACTTGACATTCCGAGATTAGCATGACGGTCGCTAGATCATTCAACCACAACATGTGTTTCCGGAGTGCATCACGTGGAGGCGATCTTTGTTACTCTCCTTTTTTGTATATTTTCTTTATTTAATTTTTTTATTATTTTTGTTTTTTTAATTTTTTTATTCTTATTTTATTTTTATTATTTTTTTAATTTTTAATTTTTTAAATTTTTTTAATGAAACGTAGCCCAAATAAGCTTTTATGAGTCAACTTCAGAAACGGTGATAACTTCAAATCCACGTAATTTGATCATAAAAAATCGTACAGAAACAAAAAACCAATTTTGAAGATAAAAATAGCACTTTAAAATAGAGAGAATGTACATAAAATTGGCAAAATAAAATTTCCTTAACCACGATATCATTATAAAAGTGACCACAATCGTCAATTTTCATCTATATTATCCCAATTTTCTTGGAAATGTGACGTGCTAGCCAAATTCTGACGACAGCATCGTTATCAGCGTCAAAAAATACTTCGGAAATGATATTTCGCAAGTCAAAGATAAAATCAGTGTTATACATTGATTTGTGTATTATTGCGATAAAATTGTTACTTATTGTTAATTGGAGATCATTAACTGGAGAGCGTAAAATTGAGCGTTGTTAAATTTAGTAGTTAAAATATTGCAAATGCTAAAAAAATAATTAATTTTTTATATATATGTATTAAATTTAATCATATTATCAAAATAAAAGAATAATAAGCGATTCGTATTATAAATTACATTTTTATTTTATAGATTTATTTACCTTATATTGATATTATTTGTATAGCAACGCTTATTTATTATAAGCTTATATTGTACTATTTATTATAAAATTATTGTTATATTGCACTCATAAATATTTGTCCATTGATACTGTTTTATATTTTTCAAAAGATATATTATGTACCGTGTGTTGCATCAACATATTGATCAATATGTGGCGAGTCATTTATATAATATAACAATAAATATAATATCTTTTCTAACAGGCATTACATTTATAAAATTGATCGATATATCATAATACATTTTATAAATGTAATACCTGCTAGTGAAGGCATTACATTTATAAAATAGCCGATATATACTGAACATATACACATATGATCAATATGTTCACTCGTATATAGAGGATGTTTCAGACCTAACGCACCACCTGCTAATTATAGATTCTTGAAGTAATTTGGAAACGAAAAAAAGACCTTGGAGTCCCCTAGATCCAGGTGATCACAAAGGGTTAATTAAAATATGCATTAATTTATAAGCGATCACGAATTATTTCAATATTTTATACTTTTTGTAAAATTAATTTATAACGTTTTTAGTACGTCATATACAGAATATACACAACAAATCAAATTATAAACCGAGATGTACTCTATGCAGCTGAATCTTGATGCCTAATAACATTTCCTGTTAAAGAAATGTACCATTTTTGTACATTTGATACTTTTTACGTTAAAAATAGTTCGTCTATTTTTATTACAAAAACATTTACCGTGCATACAAAGCACATGAACATGACTATGAATTGATTTTGATACACGTCATAATATCTCGCTATTAAATTGGGTATGTGAAGTTAGCACCCCAACTATAATACTCAGGAGTTCTGATTAGAATTCCCGTTTCTTTTTGACGAGACAAAGAGTTCTATATAATTTATAACAAGAGTTCCGCGTAATAAGTATTTTTAAACAATTTTTTAAAAATGGGGTGCTAACTTCTTATCGAAAATCGAGATCCAATAGTTCTGAGCGGCCCAATAGCTTCATTTCGTGAATACCTAGAGTTCCCGATACATAAAAAAAATTTTTGAAAAATAAAAAATTAAAAATTTTTGAAAAATCAATTTTTAAATACAATAGTTCTGAATAGAGTTCCTGCTTCCTTTCAACGATACGAAAAGTTCTCTGTACTTTTTAACTCGAGATTCCCTTAATAACAATTTTTAAACAATTTTTTAAAAATGGGGTGCTAACTTTTTATCGAAATTCGAGCTCGGATAGTTCTGAGCAACTTAATAGCTTTATTTTGTAAATACCTAGAGTTCCTAATACATAAAAAACAATTTTGACATACAACAAAATTTATAAATAAAAAATTTTTTTTTTAATTTTTTTATCAATAGTTCTGTCACATGTTAATTGTCATTCTGTCTATTTCGAAGAGTTCTAAGCGATTAAAATCAACACAGACCCAAAAATAAAAGAGATATGTATTTAAAACAAAATTTGAAAAATTGGTTGCAAAAGCACATATCTCCTTATGTAGCCATCCAATCGCATTTTCACCTAATACTTTTCGTCAGGGCTCGTCGGAAACTGCCCAGAATGCCAGTCAGAACTACTCAGTACTCTCAAAAAATTTTTAATGACACTTCCCATATAGCGTATCTCGCAAATCGTTGGCCCAATCGCTTTTTCACCTCATATTTTTCGTTAGAGCTCGTCGAGAACTGTCCAGAACGCTGATCAGAACTACTAAGTACTCTCAAAAAATTTTCTCAAAAAAAGAGAAGTTTTAAGTACATATCGCTTTTATTTTTGGGTCTGTGTTGATTTTAATCGCTTAGAACTGTTCGAAATAGACAGAATGACAATTAACATGTGAAAGAACTATTGTATAAAAAAATTTTTTTTTTAATTTTTATATTTTTTTTAAATAAATTTTGTTGTATGTCAAAATTGTTTTATATGTATTAGGAACTCTAGATATTCACAAAATAAAGCTATTAAGTTGCTCAGAACTATTCGAGCTCGAATTTCGATAAAAAGTTAGCGCACCCCATTTTTTAAAAATTGTTTAAAAATTGTTATTAAGGGAATCTCGAGTTAAAAAGTACAGAGAACTCTTCGTATCGTTGAAAGGAAGCAGGA